TTATTAAAATGCTAGGCCTCAGGTCTATCTGTGATGTAATGCTTGAGGTTTTCAGAGCAAAACCAGATTCCTTCAGTCACAATAGTTTTCGTACATTAAACAGTTTCTACTTGAAAAGAGAGGTCCTTCGGTGTAATTTTACTTTTTTAATCAACCTTATTACCATTTTGCCCTTCTACAACACACTATTAACTGAGTGCATTTCCATTAAATTTCAAAGTATGTCTTAGTCTTTATGACTGGATGTTACTTTTAAAACTCTCAAGTTCTGGCAGGTATGACCTCGGGTGCAAACATAACTTTATTTGCGAAGAAAAAGCTATTTAGCTGTGAAGCTTTGATTATGGTTCCATAATTAAAGCATTTGGACATTACTACAGTGAATGGGCTGAAAATACAAGTGCATGTCAAATTACGAACAGGAAACAGAAACACAGATAATAAGAATAAAGTTTGGGGGATAGACTGTCACATCCAATTCTGGTAGCCTTGCAAAGGCAGAACGTCTTTCCCAGTCAATGCAAGTCCACCTTCAGACCGTTAAGTGAGGAGAATGTTACCGCTGTAGAAGAACTGGAAAGGAGAACAAGAAAGTTTAATGGATGATTTTGGAAAATACCTGCCCCTGTTTTGTACTGTATGTTAAACCACAAGAGGCTGGATATCTGTCTATGCTTACCAGTTACCAGAAAGAGTCCTTAAGGCCAGGAGGTTTGTGTTTAGTCAGTGGCCAGATAAATAGGTATGTCATTTGTAAAAAGAATATGCTACAGGACTGTATATGAGTCTATCAGAAATACTGAGTCTGTAAGTACTGAGTGGCAAATGCATTTAGAAGCAGGTCTGAAATTGATCGTGCAAGCAGAGATCTGTTACAATTAAGGTTTTCATAGCCTCAGTGAATGCTGATTTTGAGTGGAGATTCAGCTGTGAAACACTGAAAACTTTCAGTATAGATAAGTCTGGGGCACATGCTAGATGAGCAATCTGAGGCAGCACTGACAGAATCCTTCATTTTTCTCTTTCCAATTTCTCTCTGTCTGGGTTTACTAGATTACCCAACAAATATGAACTAATATTCTAGTCTGCAGAGAGTTCTCGTCTTCATGTTTGGAGGACCTAGGGATTTCATAACAGTTTTATGAGATGAGTTTAGAGCTGCTTTTTGGAAATGTGTTTTTAAATGGAGGATGTGTTTTATCTCTCTTTAGAACATATTTTCTTGATTAGACTGGCAAGGATTCATATTTTTGGAATAATTTAAGCAGTGTGGATCCAGGGCCCAAATTGTGTTGACCTTAAATAGAATCCTGGTGAAGAGAATGTTGAAATAATGAAGAAAAGTTCAGTTTTGTGTTGAAGAACAGGGTCAGTGAGAAATATTTCAGCTGTTATGCTATCCTGATTTAGAAAGCAAATGAAAGGCTTCTGTGCATCACATTGACGTGATGTGACTGAATGAATGCAGATGCATCATGATGTGAAGTCTGCTAAACTTGTGTTCAGAGGGGTGTGAATATATAAGAGAGCCTGTTCTTTGGAGAAGCCAACCACTAGTTCTGGAAAGATCCCAGCAAATCACAGGGAAGTTAAGCAACTAATCTTTATTGCTAGGATGTAGTGCAAAATAAGATGACATCAGTTTATTCAGTTTATGGGCATGACAGATGTTAGAGGTTATCACCAGTGTCAGGTCAGGCACAGGGCCCAGGACCTGCCCGAAGGACTCAGCCAAAAGTGTTCTGGGCATACAATTTGTGGTCTGTTGTGGGAGTTGTTTTTTATACTTCAATGATTTTTTGAGTTTTCTGTTAGGCTACACCCTATGCAGTAGACATAAAAGAGAAGAACGTGATCAAAGCCAGGCCTAACAAAGAAGAATGATTACAGTATCTGACAATATCTAACACCTTATGCTACTGCAGGACTGGGGATAATATCAGGAAAACTGAGTTCATATGGAAAGCAGAATCTCAAATTTGTTTTTCTATTAACTCAGTTGGGCAAAGAGTGGCAGGTGATGCCTAACCAGTTGCCTGTTTTCATTCCTTTTCTGAAATGTCCATTCATTCTCTCTGTTCACTGCATGGGAGCTTACAGTTTCAGCCTTGTGTACATGCCCGAGAGTGGCCCCTGAAAGATTAGTTGTTATTTCCCTGAATTGGTAGCCTTCTGAGAGCTTAAATGGATCTAGCCCTTAGTGTAGGAAGTCTTGAAAGAGTAAAAATGCTACTGTCACTCAAATAGTTGCATATATAGGTGGCCAACACTTGCAGTTACTATCAATCAGAGCCTAAGCAACAAACCTTCCAGCCCACGCGGGTTTAAAGGGAAAATGCTGTGGGTAGATCTGCAACATGCGGTTCTACCTGAGGTCAGCTAGGCATACTCAGTGTAGGTGGTATTTCTATGTGGTCCAGATAATGAAGCCCAGCAACTGTATAGCTGGATCAGCATGGGGCTGTACATGGGGTAGTTAGCCTCACTCAGCAGAAGCATTTGGTGTGAAAAGTCTGTAGCATGACTGTTTTTTGTTTTTATTTTTAGTTGGATGGAAGGAAAATGGAAGGCAGTGTGTTGCCCATGTGATTTTTGTTATTCAAAATTATTTCTAGTGTTTGAAAAATTGTTTGTCTAGTGTTTAGATAGTGTTGGCTGTCCACTTCCATGTGTTATCTAGAAGGACTTAGCACAAATAATGTTTCATTTTTCAAGCTTCTCTGCTGCTTGAAATAAAAGTGAAGTTAGGGAAATGCTGAGATTTTTGAAAAAGGTCTGAAAACAATGGAGTCTTCCTGGAAAAAAATAAATCAATGGAATTTGTTCAGTTACTTTAGAAACTCAGCCTCCGCCTTCAGAGTTTTCTCAACAGGCTGTGTTTTCCCCAACCACTAGCAAAACAAACCTAAAGGCTTTCCCAAGGGAAATCTGTTTAAGCCTGTTGCAATGTCTGTGAGGAGTATGGGTGCTGGTGGAGAGTGATACAGGGAGGAACTGTGCTGTCAACAACAGGAAGTTGGTGAAAAATGAGCGGTGCCCCTGGGGAGGTGAATGCAGAGCAGATGGCTCTAATTGTGAGTCACACTGTGACAACTGACAAGAGAAATTCTGCACTCTTGACACTTTAAAGATACCAAAAATACCAGAGAGCACATTCCACAGCTTCTTGAAGACTTCCATATCGAGGGAGTAGGGAAGGGAGAGCTCCAACTCCTCCTGTTTCCATCACTAAACAGCCCATAAAATTTGCTGTTGATAAGCTTCCAAGCAGCCAAACATTCTAATACTTAGATAAGTCACTAATGTTAATAAAAACACTGAAGAAATAAGAAGGAAGAGGTGCAAAGGGGATTCATGCACAGGACAGCACCAGTTGCTTTAGATACTGATCCTTTCAATTAAGGGTGGTTCTGGATAAGAAAGGGGAAAGTAACATCCTTGTTTATAAGCACTGATAGATTTTGAAATCTCTTTCTTTTTTCTTTCCTTTTTTTTTTTTTTTTTTTTTTTTCTTTCATCTGGAATGACTGCAAGCATTTTCTTGATTTATTTCAATTGTTGCCCGGATACAGGGTTGCAGATTTATATTGTGCTTCTTTAGTGGAGTTACAAGAAGTCAGGACCAGAAACCATTCATACTTGCTTGCCAATTTTTTATTTTGGGATGACTGCCTAGCTTGGATAGGTCTGCAGATGTCAACAGCGCTACCCCAGAAATAAGTTGTGTTTGCTGTATTTGCTTGCTTAGTGCCACTGCTTTCATACCAACGCTATGATAGTTAGTCTGTCTCTTGAGCATATTCTGGTTGTTTCATGTGCAACCTAATAACACGAGGCAGCTCTTTTACTTGAACTCTGTGACCATTAATATCAGGCTGAGGCATTATTGTTATTCTGCTTGTACTATGCAAAGAAATTCCCTGGATATTTGAGGAGGGGAGGAAATTTCATAGTGTTAGAAATGTTTTTGGGAGCATCTCGTTCTGACTGGATTGAGATATCTGATATTTTGGCACTCTGCTGCTTTTCAAATAGTTGTTATTTGAAAGTTACTAACAATGGAAGAGTGCATCTAATCCCTTGGGAAGGAAGCTAAAATGCACAACTTTTCCTCCTGCAGATGTTAAGCTGCTGTTCAAGGGCGTAAAACAATTCAGTGTTGTTTCTTGAATAAGTGCTTGTGCACTGAGGTGATGGGTTAGTTTGGGCAGGTCATACAGTTCAGGAGCTCTAAGTTCAGTCCAATATTTCAGCATGGGACGTATCCTTACCATTTTCTTTTACTGTTACTTTGCTTCATGTTATATCAATAAGATAGACTGCAAATTTTTCTGTGAGGAAATTCTGCTATATAGAAATATCTAGGATGAACTAAGTTACATAGGAATATGGCAGTATACTCTTTGTGTGGTGTTCTACTTGGCTTAGCTAAGTTGGTCCATTAAGCATCTCTGTAAATTGCACTACCCATAGCACTTTGCACTGAATCATTTGGAAATCCCACTAAGTAACTTTATCCTCAATACTGTTATGTTACACTCCTAAGGTTGGGTACTTCTGTCCATTTCTTTTGTGTCACCAGCACAGCTTGAGGTGAGAATAATATTACTCCTTGGGCATTTCAGAACAAGAATTTCCCTTTGTAAGTGCAGTCCCAGATGGACATTTGACTTACTTGCTAGCAGTTATTTTGTATAAGGTTGGCTGTTTGTGCATTTGTTAAGATTTTTTAATCTATGTGAAAACCCCCCAGTGTATCACTATTTGTAACAAAACGATGAAAATACTGATGTTGCCATACCTTAGAATTTATTGCAGGTTGGATAATACACATGTACAATAGGCTACATTTTCTAAAAGCATGAACAAAGTCACTAAGAGCTGCACAGATGCACACATCCTCCAAGTTTCCTAAGATACGCAAAGCCAAATGCATCATTCTATGGTATTGCCATTGCCAGAGAAGCCTCCTGTAACATAAAGCCAATGAGCAGGACTTAGGGAGTTACGTACTTTCATGTTTGGTGTGAATGTCAAGGTTTGTCTATTATGCTATTATTTTTTTTCCTGCCGGTCATAATGGAGGGAGAGAGAAACAAGTAACACGTGATCTTCGGTTCTTTAATCCTTGGCAGAGATTTGAGACCACAACTCTTCTGTCCTCTGAAGCGCTTTCACTTGGAGAAGTTGCATGATGCAGTGGAATTTTTCTTCTTTATGTCTGTCTTGGCTAAAGCAAGACAGACGAGCTTGAAAAGGCTCGCCCTCCTCAAGGAACGCTATCTGATTCGTAAGCATTCCTAGAGGTTAAGGCTGGTGACTATCAAGAAAGCAAATACTTCACGCAAGGGTAAGTCTTCTAATTGTGTTTGTGTTGAATAGCTGCCAGATCCCCATGTCAGGATGTCTGCAGTCACGGCTCTGATCTCACCATTCCTTCCTAGGCTGTTGCACAATTGTGTTGCATGTTTGTGGTAGGAGAGAAAGCTGGAGAGCTGGGCTATGAAACCATCTCGGGGAAGGAAGCCATGTTTTATTTTAGTTACTTGGTTTGGATATCAGCCTGTAGAAGATTGAATAACATTAAAAAAACATAGTGCGACCCATTCATGGAAACCCAACCTGGTCTGCTACACAGATATGTGAAATATGAGGTTTCAAACTCAGGGTGGAAAAGGAAATGTCAATGAAAATGTGTTCACTGGTATAGCAGAAATCCTAGTACACACGTGTGATAACTCATTACTTGTACAGAAAATTTCATCTGTAGTTTCAGGATCTGATGGGCTTGTGCTTGTAGTTGCAATTAGTCAGTATTTGGAAAACAAGTTGTGAATTTGCCCCTCTGATGGATTACTGCAAACATCTTTTGTAGCAGACAATTGAGACAAAACAGTGAAAGAAAACAGGTTATTTGTGAAAAAGGAAAGAGATGCAGTGGTATTGCAGGCCATGAGCTTAGCTATGGAGAGAGAAAGAAAGAATATTTATAACTCTTTCCAGCCAGAGTATGAGAGCTTTTGGGACTCAGCACATTGAAGACTGCTTTAGTTACAGAAACATCTAATTTTTGAGAGAAGACAGAAGTTGTCTTAGCCACAGAAACACTGATTAGAAGTAATATCTTGATTACTCTCAATACCATAAATCTTTCTTAGATGGTCAAGCTGTGCATTATTGCTGTTTGGTTACAGAAAACTAAATTTCACAGGAGTTTAATTTTACTACTGAAAAAAAAAATAGTAAGAGGCTGTGTTAATCTATGACCATCGTGTTGTCTCACATAATAAAAAATGGTGAGCTGGTAGTGGTGATCCACGAGGATGTCAGTTCCACTTCCTAAACCACGAAGTGGAGAATTATCCAGAGCAATAAAGAATTTGTACAAATAATACTGGGGAAATCAGAAGTTAATCTGAATACCATCTCACTCAATCTAATCAGTATAAATAGCTCCCTGCCAACTGCTTCATTACCTGAAACAGGGGTCAACTGATAAATATCAGTCAGTCCTCTCATTAAAAAAATCCACCACCACCACCCCCCCCCCCCCCCCCCCCCAAAAAAAAAACTCACCTTCATCTCAGAATCTCAAATTCCATCATTCTTGATAAGCACTACGATGTTCCTTATCTCTCGTTTGCAGTTCATATCCTGAGCTACATAGATTTAGTGTTAGAGATAAGGATATGAAAAAGTAAAGTGATATTAACATTCATGTCACAACCTGCTAGCCTCTCTGGCTGCTACGCCTTGTGTTGTAAATAGAGGCGGTCAGTGAGTCTGCTCAGGAGCTTAGGATCTGACCACATGTCATTTAACAACATTAGACCAGCTGAGCACATTCAGGGAAAACAATACGAGCCATCTCAATGGAGAAACAGATGATGCAAAAAATAAAAATAATAATAAAAAAATAAGGAGGGGGGACAGGACAAGAAAGAAAGAGCAGAAGTGTGGAGGACCACTGTACCTCTGTTAGCTTCTTCTGGAGCAGTCAGATAAAATCTGCTAGGTGAAGACAGAAGAATGGAAAGCAAGCCATAAAGCCAGGCTGTTGAAAGTTGTCACCCAAATGATATCAAACTGTACAAATTATATTTTGATATTTATATTGTGCTCGCCACTGATAGATACTTGTCAAAATTTTAACAAAGACAATTTTCTTTTTCTTTCTTTTTTTTTTTTTTTTTTTGTATAGGTGACATTTTGATATCCTAAAACATAGGTAACATCAGTGGTGACATTAAAATAACACTCACAGTAAGAAATGGTTCCTTGAAAAAATATTGTGGTGTTTGAGTCAAGTGCTTACCTTCACAGATCTGTGTGGCAGTTTTCTAAATTTTTGGGAAGGCACAGAAGTTGACCTTTGTGCTTTTCTTGGGAACTGAGAAGGATTGAGTCATCAGCACTATGATGCAGAATTCTTCTTTACAAGTTAGAGGTTTTGCAGAAAATAAATAAATAAATAAGATTTATTTTCCTTTCTACAGACTTTTTTTCTTTGTGTGTTTTAGATTTACAGTAAACTAATCAAAACTAATTGAAGCGAAAATAGAGCACAAACAATGTAATATCCTCAAAAATTCTTTTAAAGGTCACTGACACAACTATATTTATTTTTAATATATTTTTAATTTTATTTGTGTAATAAATAATCAGAGATTATTTCTTCAAACCAAATTATTTTTTCAACCAATGTTTCCTTAGCTTGTTTTCTTGACTTCACATTTAGAAAAAAATATCGTGAACTTTAATTACTTGGGAAAAATGCTGCCTTTCCTCAAATCATTATTCACTATCACTTTACCTGCAAAGATGAAAACAGCATGCTTTTTTGAGTGATCCCCAAGTAACTTAAATTTAACTAATTTCTGTGATTGAGGATAGAAGTCTTCTGGTAAACAGCTGCCAGTTGCAGTACATATTTTTCTATATATAGAGAGAGAAATAGTATATATACTAAAATAATATATATATATTAAAATAGTATATATATTAAAAGTCTACTTCTAAATCAGAAGCAATTCAAAATGATTTTGGTGAAATGTTGTCCTTTTAAGAAATTACATTGTCAAAGAAAAAAAAACACATAACATCGATTAATTTAGATCATTGTTTGTGGAAAATTACTGTTTCATTTTTTGTTTCTCTGTAAGTTATCATTTTTTTTTTTATTTTTTTTTTCCTTTTCTTTCCAAACACACACAACCTTTCTCTCTCCTTCCACAATTTATTTTGAATTTCAAAGTGGGAAATAATGGGATGAGGATTTTCTGATTTTTTTTTTTTTCAGTTGAAATGCCTAGACAGTAATGAAATAAAATATTCTATGCATTCTTAAAAAGCCAAACACCTGTTATTGAAAGGGAAATAATGGCCAAGAAAAAGAAAGAAAAGAAAAAAAGAACAGGTGCAGTTAATGGGCTGGACTAAAGTATCATGGGAGGTTTTCAAAACCACAGATGAATTTAGCTGTACCAGTTCTGAGGAATATAAATGAACGTTGCTTACTTTTTTTTTTTTTTTAATTTTAAAATTCTCCTTCTGAACATGGCTTCTAGGGGGAAGACCACTTGAAATAATTTTAGACTTTTAAGAAAAACATGTTGCCACTACCTAATATGCCAGTCATACAATAATTTTCCACAGACAAACAGTATAACAGAAAATGTTAACAAGCATTGTCAGTTAGAAGAAAGAATAGCCTTGCCTTGCACCTCCTCTTTTTATTTCATTACTTTTATTTCAAAACTGTCTTTGAGTGGTGATCAAGGTCTGGGCATTTGTCCCAAGCAGGCAATATTACTTTTTATTTTTTTTCTCTTTTGGCCTGGCAAAACCTTTACTCCTACCTACACTCCCTGTAGCATTTGTTTTTCTAAAGCTGTACTAGAGAATGATAAGTTTATAAAGAACTAGACTGCATCTTAGTATATGAAATCGTTATATTATTAACTAAAAAGTCTTTTGGTTCCCTGTACCCCTACTCCAATTATACACATGCATTCATTCATATCTTTCAATTCTGTTAAAAGCAAGTTTCAAAGAAGTTTTGCAACTATATAAAAAATAACCTTCTAGCTTATTAATGGACAACTCTTGCTCATCTGAAGGCCTAATTCACACATTGTGCTGATTAAAACACACAGCAAATTAATTTAGTGAGATGGTGCACATATGTTATTCTAAAACCTTCATTCTTGTCCAAACATATTTTGTAAGGTCTACCATTTGAAAAGATGGTGAAAACTGTGTAGTGAAGTGATCTTGGCTTATTCTAATTGTAAGGGAGCTCTTTTATCATGTTTTTTCCCTTAGTATACCATCATCTCCCTTTATATTCAGTATCGGAAACTGTTTTGTGAAAGAGCCCATGTAGTCAAAAATGCAAACTGCTTTTCTTGGGCTGTTTTGTTATTACTTTTATTTTCCATGAAATACCACTCATGTATTCTTCCTGCACAATAATGCACTGCATGTGAATTCAAAGCAATAACCGTGTTATTTCTTTTGTTCCAGTGACTCACTTTTGTTAGGAACAAACTCTGTGGTGTTAGACCTTACCCCTGAGATAATATCATACATTGCATTCCAGCATGTAATGTATTTTAATTTGAAATTATGGAAAATAAAGTGATCAAAAATAACCTATAGGTGATACATACAAAATCATCTTCAGGCCTGGATTAATATGTCTGTCTTTTCTTCAGATCAGGGTGGGCTTTTTTCCTTTTTTTTTTTTTTTTTTTTTTTTTTTTAAAGACAGTTCTTAACGCTTGAACAAATCCCTTTTTCTTCCCCTCGGTAATGTGGTTAACTGTCTGGAATGTGAGCCACTGGAAATTCTTCCCCACAGAAGAATCCCCATTAAGCTTTCAAACACAGTTACTTCATCCCCACAGCTGCATGGATAGAAGACTTTCTAGTGCCTAAATACTTACTGTATATGTCATCCTTAAATTTATTTATTTTTTATTTTTTTCCCAGCCAGAGCTTTAGGAGCAGGTGCTAGCCTTTTGCTTCCTTTCTGCTTCCTCTGTGGGGAATGGGCTGGAAAGAGCCAACTAATTAGAAAATTCTACAGGGAAATTAATTCTGCAAACAGCTGAGGAATGGCATTTCAGTATAATGCTCACTTTGTCTGTCAGCAGGGCCCTGGCTGGCTTGACAAGTGGCAGTTCTCCCAGATGTTACACGTGTTGTGATGAGACCAGAACTGCATCACACGTTAGCCCATTTACTCAAAGATGTGATGGTCTGGAAGAGTAAATGCACTAAAACTAGCATTCAGGACATACTATGTTGCTGTCACAAGGCAACAGCATGGTAGTTTTACATGGGCTTGAAATGAAGCAATGAACTTGATTTTAGTGACTTTATTTCCAAATGTCTTTACTTTCATGTAAGGCTAAGGCACAGAGGAAGGCAGTGAAAAGAGATGTACTAAACTGCTTACTGTGAAAGGGCTAGATTCTCAAAGTTAGGCTTGCATTGTGTACACATCTACTGTATGTGCAGATCTGTAACATGTCTGAGCAAAACACTTATTGTTGGCTTGTTACGTGCACGTGAGAGTAGTCAGATCTGCATACACAAGCTTTCTTTTTCAGAGACACTGGTGACTTAAAACTGCAAAGACCATCCATTCTGAAGGAGCCTGTTGTCAGATGCTTTAGGAAATGCACTGTCTTGGAGAAGATGACAACAGTCCACTCTTTTTTTCAGTGATCTTACCAGTACCAGTTTCTTCATCTTAATGCTTTTTAATTATGGACTAAAAGCCCATTTAGCCACTTACCCTATCTTAAGTGATGTGCTGGATTCTTAGCTCTCTTCTCATGGAAGCCACAGCCCCTGGCAACCCTCAAGCCAAGAACAACGTAAGAAATGCAGTCCTTCTCCCAGACGTGTTCCTTATCTGTCCCTTCCAAAACCCCCATTTTTTTCCTCAAGCTATTTTTAACATGAGGCAACCCTCATCTGCAGGCCATGTTCGCCATTTTCAGATAGACTTGGCATCTCTTGTCTCTGTCCTGCCAGGAGATGGCCTTGGGCTTTGCTCTAGTATTTAGATATGCAGAAGTATTCCCTAGACTCCTGATGTCTGGGAATTTACCTAGGACTTAACAGAGAAAAAGAGACTTGTGAGTGCCCATTGAGTAATATAGAACTTTTCCTATCTTTTTGGTCCAAACATGATGTTGAAATTCACAGTGTTATATTTATCTCCGTGTGTGGCAGTGGGTTCATTTTTTTTAGATCTATTATTTTTACTCTTGTAAAAAAAAGAAGCTATTGAGCTCTTTGTTGTACTCTATATCTCTGTCATGAGTATCTAAATCCTTTCCATTCCTGTTTCTCCTATAAACTAAGAATATAACAACTAATATGCTCATGTACAAGTCCCATGGAGATATGTCAATTTTCTGTAGCTGAAGATTTTTTCAGTGTTTCTTTTTTCTTGTGTTTGTTCTACTGTATAATGATCCTCCGCCCCTTCTTGTTCCCCTTCCCCTTCCCTTTTCCTTTCCTCTTCCTGTTCCCTTTCCCTCCATTTTAATTGTCCTGTACTTCCTGAGCGTGTTAATACTCTATATTTTGTCTTAGTCAAAAATCTATTTGCTCTTGATTTTTTATCAGTCTGTTCTCTCCAGCAAAATTACAGTACATTGCACAGCATTGGATTCAAAAACTGTGTTTAATAGTGAACAATCTATATCCTATTGCCATTCCAATGTTATCATGCATAAGGT